CGAACCGTGTCTATTTGCAGCGTGTCCAATTGTACTGTGTCCAAATGCACCGCTCCCTATACGGGAACCAATAAGTTTTCGTAATCAAACTTATCGTTTTTTCTAACCCTACGTGTCCTACGTCGTCGTGACTAGCTTGGATTACATTACGGGTCATTGCTTCGGGTACATAGAATAATAATCTTTGGTCGTGTTTCCTATATACAACACCATTTCGTAATTCATATTGATTGCTTTCCTGTCTTTCTAATTGTTTATGTATTTTGATTATTGTAGGATCTTGAAGCTGTTTATAAACCAGTACTTGCTCGAAAGATAAAGGTTCGATAACTAATATATTGCGACTCAAGGCGTCTACGTGTTGCATGCGGTCAGCAGCCCGATGTTCGATACAGTAATTGTAATTCTGTAAAATTAAGCACCATCTACTAATTCGTGGGTTAATATCTTTCTTGGCAAAGGCAAGTTTTACTGCATTGCAGTCAGTTACGATAGTGAATTGTATTCCTTGTAAATATACTCTAAAGCGTTCGATAGCATAAACAATGGCCATGGTTTCAAGTTCGTAGCTATGGTATCTACTTTCTGTTTCAGTGGTACGTTTACTGAAGTACATAATGGGGTGCATTTTATTATCTGCTTGTCTTTGTAGTAATATAGCGCCATATCCACATGAGCTTGCGTCTGCATGCAATTCAGTAATTGCTGTTGGATTATAGAACGCTAGTATTGGTTTATCTATTAGTTTATCGCGTAACGATTCGAACGCTTGTAATTCCCTTTCACCGAACGTAAAAGGTTTATCTTTTTTCACTAGCTCATATAATGGTCCGGCAATCAAGGCAAACCCCGGTACGAATTTTCTAAAATAGCTTGTCAGACCTAGAAATCTTTGTACTTGCTTAACTGTTTTAGGTTGTGGGAAATTGTATATAGCTTCTACATTAGTTTTATTAGGCGTGATACCTTTTGACGAGATAATGTAGCCTAAATATTCTATTTCTTTTTTAAAAAATAACATTTACTAAATTTAAGTTCTATTTTATGTTTTGTCAATGTCTGTAATACTTCCGTGAGAATCGTTAGGTTATCTTCAATTGATTTAGTAGCTATTAAAATATCATCTAGATAGAGCAAAATTTTCCCTTCGTCTAGTAATGGTTGAAATATCATGTTTATGTATCGTTGAAAAGCTGCTGGGGCATTGGCTAGTCCAAATGGCATTTTCAAGTATTCGTATTGCCCTTCTGGTGTGACGAAAGAGGTGAATTTGATTGAATTTTCCTCGACTGGAATTTGGTGAAATCCATCTCGTAGGTCTAAACTTGTAAAGTAATAACTGTTTGCTAATCGATCAATTTGGTCGTCTATTAACGGTAATGGATACCGGTCCTTTATGGTGATTTTATTTAGGGATCTATAGTCAATGCATAGTCTGTAAGTATTGTTTTTCTTTTTAGTTAAAACTATAGGACTACTGAAGTTTGAAGTACTGGGCCTTATAATCTGTCTCTCCCGTAAATCGTTAATGATTCGCCGGACTTCGCCTCTCTCGGACCATGATAATCGTCTAGGTGTATAATAAAATGGTTTGCTATTTTCTGTTAGTTGAATAGTGAATTTATAGTTGATATTACTAGTTTCATTTTCAGATTTAATATAATTATGTAATAACGTAAGCAATTTATTTTTAATTTGGAAAGGAATTGATGCGTCCAAGCCGTTACGTACCACATCCAAGCTGTCATTACTTTCTATAGGTTCTATGTGAAGAATACTGTCCGTAGTTATCTCATCGTATCTTAGCTCAAGGGTTTTGCTTAGAGTGATAGTTATTCCAGGTTGGTTTATGAATTCGCGACCCAGTAGTATGTTGTATGTCATTGTGCTATCAGGCACTATAGCGAATCTAATAATAAATGTATAATTAGGCAACAATTTGAATCGTATGTTAGGCATAATATGACCATAAATAGTTAAGGGAGATTTATTAACTCCACCATAACTGACGTTATCTAGATTTTTAGTGAGATCATAATTATTAAAAAACTTAAGGTATGTATTTTCAGTCATAAGGTTAATTGCGCTACCTGAATCTACGAGGGCTTCAACGTGATATTGGTTTTCGTTCGCTTCCGCTAATAGAACGCAATAGTCTCGAGTTGTTTTATCTGTCTGTATTTCGGGGTTGTTGATCCGTACTTCGGTTGGTAAATTTTTCTTCGGTGATTCTATTAGAGCCGTTGTCGTTTCGTTAGTTAGTTTTGGTCGGCTGGTTGTAATTTTTGGAGTGATGGATTGCTTGTGCGGGCAGTGTTGGTATACGTGATCCATGGATCCGCAGGTGAAGCAGGAGCCTTTTTCTCTTCTTGGGCTTGGACAGGCAGCAGATATATGTCCCTCCAGATTGCAGTTATAACATTGGATTGGTTTATGTGGCGCAACAGCTGGTGTTTCAGTCTTAACTTGGATGTTTATGGTCCTCTTTGTATCAGGCTTCAACTTAATATTTCTGAAGGATTCCAGTAATGAGGAAGTTGACTGGAATTGTTGCATCCTGGCTTGATCACGTAGTCTTATATCGGGTATTCCTTCCAGCAGATAATCGATGAGTTCTTCTTTTGCGATGGGTACTTGATTTGCCATGATGATCTTCTCATGGTAGTAGTCGCAAAATGTTTCTTCCGCTTTCCACGTTCTATTTTCGAATGTCTTCCTCAGCGATAATCGGCTTAGTCGGTGATCGAACATATTTTTTAATTCGAGTAATAATTCTTCACAACTTAGTTCGATGTGCTCGGCTTTGGAATGGAACCATCTTAATGCTCGGCCTTTTAATTTTGTTCCCATGAGGATTCGCATAGAATTATCGTTTAACTTATAAGTATTACATAATAATCGAATTTGTTTTTCCCATACCGGAAAAGTATTCTCCGTTCCATCGAATCCATTGAGTAAGTCGCTTATTACCTTAATGAGCGTATTGGGCTGCTCAGGGGGAGATACCACAGCGGCAGACATATTCCTGAGGAGTTCGTTCTCTCGTCGCATTAGTTCGAACTCTCTTTTATCTAGCTCTCTCCTTTTGTTCAAGTTCCCCCTGTGGCCTGAGATCTTCGGGTGTTCCGAGTACCTCGCCCTCTTCTTCGATGAATTTCTTCGTCTTCTCTCCTTTCGGGTCTTCCGTTTGTAATCTGATTATTAATTCTGCTTTATTCCCAGCGGATTGTAGCTGGAGATGACGCAAAACCTTCCTCAATTGTGTGACGGTGAGATCGCTGAAATCCATGCTGCCGGTTTGTAGGTTAGTGCCGCCGTCTTTAGATGAAAACGCTCGCAGTAAGGCGTATTATGGCACTCGCCCAGCTTGCCCGAATCCCACTTCTGAATATCTGTAAGGGATTGACCGAGGATAGGGGCCAGCAACAGAAACAAGCAGGGTACAACTGACGGAACGGAAGAACTTTAATGCAGCTTTAACGTACAGTAGAGATGGGCGATGTTGGAAAAAATAATCGATTATATATTAATCGATTATGAGAATAATCAATTTCAAACAATCGATTATTACAAAAAATAATCGGAAAATAATCGCATAATCGATTTTTTAACAATTATTTGAAAAATGGTATATATATAATTTTTCATTAATTTATCTGCTTATTTTGCATATTCACATTTACTTAATACATATTATTAATAAAAATAAAAAGTTACATTTGGTACTAAAGCAGCTAGTATTTCTGCCGACGTGTATTTTTTTCTCGATTTATCTGTCGTCCGGATAGGGGATCGTATTGACATCTGTAATATAAATCAAAACATGTTTAGTATTAGTAAACAGTTTTAGCATTAGTAAACAGTTTTAGTATTAATAAATAGTTTTAATATTAATAAACAGTAAAACAAATATGTACATATAATTCAGTAAAACATACTGTATACAGTGAAACATACCTGTGCATTTTCAAATAAAGAAAAATAAAATGGAAAGGAATCAGGACAAATACATACAATCATACATTCTCATTCATGTTTAGTAATGAATCATTATTAACGATGCACAACAAAAAATTATAATATTTATACTGTACGTTAGTAGAATGTTTATAATAAAGCTAGCAGTCAACCCATTAATAATATAAGTATGAAAGAACCATAACCGATCTAGATATCAACTTACAATGAAAGGAAATTGAGATAGTGATTGCAAGATTACAAGCGTAGTTATGAGAGCCTCCAGTGTTTTTCGGATAATGACCCTAGGAATAGCAGCATATTTAATCGCTTACCCGACAATCTATTGCGCCGTTCTGTTTTCAGAGCCCCAGCCTTCGAAAATAAACGTTCTGATGGAACTGAGGTTGCGATGATACTCAAGTACTTAATTGCTAAAACATATAGTTTCGGAAACGCATCTTTCATGCTATGCCAATATTGAATTGGGTTTTCTTGTCTCGGGATAAGAGGCTGATTGAGGTACTGACGCAGTTCAAGATGAAGTTCGAAAGCATCATTTGACTGCATATTGTTAACAGTCAAATTGTCATGGAATTGCCATACACTTAGTTCTGTAGAGCTTTCCGACAATTTTGGGGTCGGCGCAACGTTCGCGGGATTGGAGCTAATCAATTTCATCGCTTTACTTATGTTCTCAATAGCCGCTGTTGCTGTCAACGCAGATCGAAAATGAATCGCGGATCAAGGATTGTCGACATTGCTAATAATTCGCATGTTTCGATTCCCTTAAACTTTTCCTGAACTTTAGATATGATTCTCAACTTCATATTTTCTCCGACTTTCGTTACGGGTATGCAATGGTTTAACATATTTTCCATGCATCGAACTATTGGGATAGCTATACTACCTGTCGGATATATTTCTCTACTAATTTCGGTAATAACATTTTCAACCGGTCGTAAAAGTAGTACACAATCTTTGAGGATTTGAATTTCTTCTCGCGTTAACATTTCTGGTGCAGACGGGCATTTCATTAAACCTGGATAAATATATTCATGGAGTTCGAGGAACCTTTCAATCATATAAAATGACGAGTTCCAACGCGTAGGTACATCTTGTTTTAATTTCAAAGCTGTACCTTCTGTCTTCCCGTTACAAATTTGGAGCCGCTTTAATTCATCGGTTGCAACAACGCTCCTTTTCGTTATCGTTACTATATTTTGTATGCGAGTAAAGATACTCTCGACTTCCGGTAGAGTTTTCAAGACGCTCGGTACCACATGAGACAAAACATGTGCGAAACATGGTATGTGCTTCGAAACACCAAATGTGTCAGTTGCTGCCTTTTTAATATTTGCGCCGCAATCAGTAACTATTGCAGTAACATCGGACGTTTTTAATCCAAATAATTCGAGACAATCCCGTAAAGTTCGTGATATATAATCCGCGGTGTGACGCTCGCTCAGTGGAAATACGCCTAAACAACCGTTATTTATCTCGAGCTCTGTCGTTAAGTAATGATCAGTGATCCCAAGGTAACTTTGATTACCTGTATCTGTCCATATGTCGCATGTCAACGTATGATTAGTACTAGCGGTAAGGTTATCTCGAAATGCATTCCTCATCTCGTGATACTTCAACTCCACTTCTTTTGTGATGGTTTTTCGACTAGGAATATTGTAATGCGGGGCTGTTATCTTCATAAGCGCTCTGAATCCTTTGTTTTCCACGATTGATAAAGGACAGTTGTCGGTGGTGATCATGTAAAGAATCGCGTTGGTTATCTTGGCAGCAGATGAACCCCTACCTAACACGTATAATTATTATAAATAAAAATAAGTAGATAAATGCAATCTAAATACAATGCATAAAGAAAAAGGCAAAGTATATACATTCTTGAATATTTT